GGCTGAATCAGAAAAAGCACTGGGTCAGTGTTTTAACATTAAGCAAGATTTCAGATACTAAAGTCTTGACAGTGTTCCTCCATTGTCGAGTTATGAACTAAGACTCTCAGGGGAATATCAAGCAGTGTGGGTCCATGTGAGTTGGCTTATTCAGGAATAGACTGCTAACAGCTAATTTATGAGGACTTTAAAGTAACACATTAGAAGAATGACCATTGTATAACAGGCAGGGGAAAATTCTGCTTTGATAATTTGACAATTCAAAATGAACATCCCATTTCCCCTCATTCAATCTTAGTTTCCTTAAGCTAAATGTTTTCTTTCTTTACTACCCCCTTTACCAACTAAATGGAAGAGCTGTTTAGTGCTAACTCATGGTTCTAAATATAACTGGTGCTACACAACAGGTCTTTCTCACTGGCAGCTTCCAGGTAACTGCACAATGCTCCCCACAGTGATCTGAGCATCACAGATGTGTTTAACGGTGGTGACAGGAGCCCGACTGTACTGAAAGGGCAGTGCCTGCATCCCACAGAGGCTGCAAGGCCCTTTGAGGCTCAACATCAAGGGGTTCTAAACTTAGAACCACTAGGGTCTGTTACTACCTCTACATCAAAACCGCTGAAGAATAAAGCAGATCCAGAGACACTGCCTAAGGAAGCTGCACAAACCACATGAGACAGTATGAGAGGCCACAGAATTCCTCAAAGAAGGAGACTAGATCTATAGATAAATACATATATATTCATTAGAATTCTTTATTTCATTTTATTTGTGTATTTATCTATTTATTTTAAGAGAGATTTTTGCTATAGGCTATGTGCATTCACCAGACAGACAGAGACAGAGAGACAGAAAGCAAGGAATCACCCCTATTGGGGCATGACCCCGCCACAATTCCTTCTCCTCCATTCTCCTCTTGGAATTTTGGGCATGCAAACACACATGCCTGGCATGGGTTTTAAGCCACCAGGTCCAGAACTTGAACCATGGTCGACTACATAGGAGTCCGGAGACAGAACCATTACGCCATCTGCTGGTTCCTATTTATTTATATAGAGAGATTTTTGCTATAGGGTGTGTGCACTCACTGGAGAGACAGAGAGACGAAAAGTGAGAAATCACCCCAGAGGGGAGATGGCCACACCATAATCTCTTCTCCTCCATTCTCCTCTCAGGATCTTGGACATGCACACACACGCACCCGCCATGTGTTTCAAGTTACTGGGTCCAGGACTCAAACCATGGTAGACTACACAGGAATTCAATGACATAATCATTATGCCATCTGCTGGTCCCCCTCATATTATTACTTTTTAATTTGCTACAGGGCACATTTGCTCACCAGAGAGAGACAGAGACAGAGAGGGAAAGTGAGAAAATAAGCCATCAGGTCCAGAACTACAGTTGCAATCGGTCTTGTGGGAGTCCAACACCTTAACCACTATGCTACCTCCTGGCCCAGAATACATATATTTTTAACTCTGCTAAGAGAAAGCTGATTTGGCATCTCTTTTTTTTGGCGGGGAGAGGTTTTTTTGTTTGTTTGTTTGTTTGTTTTTGCTATAGGGCAAGTACGCTCGCCAGAAAGACAGACAGAGACAGAGACGGAAAGCGAGAAGTCACCCCCCCCAGGGGAGATGGCCACGCCGCAATCCCTTCTCCTCCATTCTCCTCTTGGGATCTTGGGCACACACGCACACATGACTGGCGTGAGTTTAAGCCACCAGGTCCGGAACTCAAACCGCAGTCAGCTACATGGGAGTTCAGCGACATAACCATTACGCTAACTGCTGGTCCCCTGATTTGACATCTTGATGTGCCTCCTGAACTACTAGCCAGTTTGCACCCTTAGCACTGTTGGGAACAGGCACCGAGTTCTGGTTAGTCAGATATGTGCTCTGACATGCACTTGGGGAACCGTGTGCACTTCTCTCCTATGACTTCCTTGTGTCACCTCAACTCACAAAACAAAAGCAAACGAGCATTCAAAATTTCTAAAGCAGAAATTTAGAACCAATAAAATAAAGGCACACAGACAAATGAATCAAATAATTTGCCTTGGGCCCGCAGGTGACATAGTGGTTAAGGGTGCTGAATTCCCACAAGGCTGGCAACAATTCAAGTCCAGACCTGGCGGCTTGCTTTCTCACTTTCTTTCTTTCTCTCTCTCTCTCTCCCAGTCACTCTCCAGTCAAATAAATAAATAAATAAATAAATAAAATCTTTAAACATATTTCAAATTATTTGCCTTATCTACAGATTACTTTATTACATTTTGAGATTGTTTTCAAAAGACAAGAATGGGAACAATTACCACCCAATTCACAGCAGCATTTCAGCTACTCAGTAGTGTTTTAGGAATCATTTTATTTAACTTGATTATTTTATTTTATTTTAATTTGACCAGAGATGAACGGGGGGTGGGGGAAGCAGTGGGAGGGAAAGTGAGAAGACAAATCACCACGTCCGAGACTCGAACTGCTGTCAGCCCTGTGGGAGTTCAGCACCCTCAACCACCGTGCCACCTGTCAGCCCCTTAACAGTATTTTTTAAGCTGCAAGTCACAATGTATAAGGTCACAGCATCGGTTAGTGGATTGCTACTATCATTTTTTTTAAATGAAGTCAAACTGTGAAGAAATACCAGTGTGCATTACAGGAAGTAAAAGTAGTGCTTCATCAGACTTTCATCTCAAAATCCAAATGTACATATATATAATAGGTCCTGCAAGAAAATTACTTCTTTCTTTTCTTTTTTTAAGTGGTCAGAGAGTGCGTGCTTGGTAGAAATACACAGAGAAGGAGCGAGAGGGAGAAAGCACTACTCAATGAGGCATAGTCATACCACAGTCCCTTCTCCTCCATTTCCCCATCCTGTCCAGACCTGGGGCATGCACGTACATGCACCATGCGTGTTTTTCAAGCCTTCGGGGCCGGGATTCAAACCATAGTCAGCCATATGGTATCTGACTCCCTTAACCAGTAGGTCACAGGTCTAGCCCAGAAAACGTACTTTTTATAATTAACTGAAATCTAAAAAACTCTTGAAAATCACTGAGATGGAAACTTGAATGAACTGCACCAGACATCTGCTACTGAGAGATTGTGTAAGGATCAAATATTTGTAAACTGTGAAGTTCATGGGTCAACTGAACAGGCAGCAGTCAATAAACAAGGACCATTGCTGGAGCTGTCAGAGCCACAGAGCCCTCACATTCGTCCTGGAGCTGGCAGTGTGAGCTCTGTCTGAACACAGGAAACCCACTACTGCAACTGAGCCGGCAGAAAAACGGGAGCCTGCTCCATAGCCCCCCTAGCATTTATCAAGATACATGAAATATGGACAGTGGGAGAAAATGAGATGATAATTTCTACTTCTAGAGTGTCACAGGCCATGGCCACAACCAAAGGACTCATTCATAGATGAGGGACCACCCCTAGGTTATAAGAAAGAAGAAACCATACTCCCAAGTCCTACGGAACTAGCCAGTCTTTCCTGGCATAGCTCACCAAGGTGACAAACAGCTGAGCATGCCTACATTCTTTCATCCCTACCCACTTCTGACCCCCTGGCCTGACGCCAGTTCCTGCTTGGTCTAATCAATAGTCCAGCCCTAGCTACCCAGCAGGAAAGGCAGGCCAGAACAGAGAGCAGCCCTTCCTAAGTGGGTATACAAATACTAGATAACAATATAACCCTGTAGGAGATGCCACAGAATCTGTGCTCTCTTTGGGAGTTTATTTCAACAGAGAAGCTAAGTATTCTTCAAATGACAGGATCTCCACGTCTCCTTACATTGAGCCAGAACCTGTCCTCACAGTCCGAAGATCCTTATAAAGTCAGAGAAAGGATCTATGCCACTTAGTAATGACTAAAACTAAGGGAAAAAAAATTCATTAAAGCTCTTCGCTTGGTCTCAATTCTAGTAAGAGCATTAATTATCTATCATTTTATCATCCCTTTTAAAATGAGGTGGCTAGAAGGGCCAGCAGGTGGCATGGTGGTTAAGGGCACTGGACTCCCACATGGCTGACCACAGTTTGAGTCCTCGACCTGGTGGCTTTCTCTCTCTCTTTCTCATTCTATCCCTCTCTGGTCAAATTTAAATAAATAAATAAAGTTAAAATAAAATAATTACATTTTTAATTATGTATTTAATTCTATTTGTTTTTATTATTATTGTCATTTTTATTTTTATTTGACCAGAAAGAGACAAAGAGAGCAAGAAACGGAAAGTGAAAGAACAAGCTACCAGGTCTGGGACTCAAACCATGTTCAGCCATGTGGGAATCCAGCCCCTTCAACCACCATGCCACCTACCAACCCCAAAATGAAATAATTCTTTAAAAAAAAAGGAAGAGGTAGTCAGAGACAATTCCATTGATGAGATAATTCCACCAATAGCTGCCTGCTAAGAAATGAAAAATGGTGCCAACTAGGTAGTGTGGTGCTTAAGGCAGCTGGATCTCAAATGACCAGGCTGCATGGTTCAAGTCCTGGACCCAGTGGCTTGAAAACACGCCAGGAGCATGTGTGCATGCCCAAAATTCCAAGAGAATGGAGAAGAGACTGTGATGTGGTCATCCCCCTGTGGGGTGCTTTCTCACTTTCTCTCTCTCTTCCTCTCTTTCTCGGGATAACACATGCACCCTAGAGCAAAAAGAAAGAAAGAAAGAAAGAAAGAAAAATGAATTTCTAACTTTGATCACAATCATGCCAAGATGACATGCTTTTACACATTCCTTGTGTATCACACACTCCTTTGTTTTAGAAAGGGAGAAAAAGAGGCAAGGAGACAGAAAGCTATTCAGGGCCTCGTAGCACAGTCAGCAGACGCAGGGCTGGGCCCCGCTATCTGATCTCCAAGATTTATGTCCCCCTGATTCTGCCAGCTGCTGCTCAGACCCCAGAGCTGACATCACCAAATTACTGTTTGAAAAGTCAAGATGAAAGAAAAGCCGGTATACACATGTGCAATTGGTCTATCAGCTTGGTACCTGTAAGAGAGCATGGTGCATCGTCACCTCCAGTTCAGCTAGAACATGAGCAGCGTCCTCACTGTCATCTTGGACCTCCAGGTCCTCCTCAGGGATGGTTTCCCAGTTGCCCTGGTGAGCCACCAGCGTGTGCACAAGTTCATACTGTCCAGGGAGCGCCAGGCTGACTCGAGTCTGAGTCCCGTAGGTGAAGCGCAGGCGCCGAAGCTTACAGCTCTCCTCGTTGCCCAGCTTGGTGGTGGGAAGCACCTGCACGCCCAGCAGCAGGTTCAACAGCTGGCACTTGACATTACAGTCCTGGCCGAGGATCAGTATGCAGGGGAGGCAGTCCACAACCTGCTGGAGGTACTTCTCTTCCTTAGGTGGGAAGAAAATGCAGTTCAGCTGGCCTGGTTGGGGAAGGGACGTATGGAGGAGAAAGGAGTAGAGAGAGAATATGAGGAGGGGTAGACAGAGACTCGCACAAAGAACCCTTTAGGATGGCTGGGACCCAGCGGAGAGCTATCTAGGAAACTCTCAGTTGAAGGAAATACTGGGGGGAAAAAAATCCCAAACAGAAAAGGCTCTTCAAATGTCAAACAGAATTCCCCCTCCTAGCTTATTCCCAGGGAACAAACTTATTTCTACCCAGAAAGGTGGCAGTGACCTGATCTTCCCTTCCTCCTTTTTCCATTCAAGAGAGGAACAGCCTAAGGAATTTACAAGGACTCCACATCGCAAGTGCAAGATCATTAAAACGACAAGGCTAAGGAGGTCTACACTAACTGGGACACGAGTCCAATGAGAAATATACCTGAATGTGTCAAAATGAAAACCTTCCTTCTGACAGAAGACCTAATACTTGAACAGATAAGAGTCCTTTTAAATTTCTCTACCAAATGCAGTCTGGGCTTGTTTTCCTCATTTATGACATATTTGATAACTAGATGTATGAGCTAATCTATAAATACACACACTGTATATCAAAATGAAATGCTATTTAGGTTTGCATGAGCTCTAGAATACTTTCCAGTTCATCTCTCTGATAGCTAGTGACAGCATCCCAGCTGCCAAGTCATCTGTTTTCTTAAAACATCGGGTGCTCAATTAAGATCAATACCTCCTAATCAAATCATATTCCTTCCGTTTATGGATGACAACACCCTGAGGAACATAAAGGGAAAGAACTGCCTGTTAGGATAAAATCCAGGCAACGTAGGAAGAGATGTGATCTAGCTTATGTCTCCTCGCAGGACAACCAGTAATCTAAATGGCCACCTTTCCCAAACAGATTCAAACAGCACTCAAGAGAGAACAAAAGCTTTCTTTTTTTAAGGTTTTTGCCATAGGGCTCGTGCTCTCACCAGAGAGACAGACAGGGAAAGTGAAAATCATCTCCTAAGGGGGATGGCCATGCAGCAATCCCCTCTCCTTCATTCTTCTTCCGAGACTCTGGGCATGTGTGCACATATGCCCAGCATGATTTTCAAGCTGTCTGGCCTGCATAAAGCTTTCTAAAGTATGCGAACCTCTGCTTGGAAAAAATAATAATAAAAAATGAGTTCACTAAAATTCAAAGAATCTGACCTTGATCGCTTCGCTACCTTTAATTCAGTACTTGACTTTGTCTATAATTCGGGCAACCTTGGCAGCTGTTCAGAAAAGCACAGATGGGGACCAGCAGTTAGCGTAATGGCTCTGTCACTGGAATCCCATGTAGTCGACTGCGGTTCAAGTCCCGGACCCGGCGGCTTAAACTCACGCTGGGTGCGTGTGTGTGCGTGCCCAAGATCCTGAGAGGAGAATGGAGGAGAAGGGATTGCGGCGTGGCCATCCCCCACCCTGGGGGGGGTAATGATTTCTCACTTTCTGTCTCTCTGGCGAGTGCACGCGTCCTACAGAAAAAACTTCTCAAAAAAAAGAAAAAAAAAAAAAACAAAAGCACAGATGAGCCAGCCCCATGGCCTAGTGGTTATGGGAGCTGATTCACATGGCTGACTATGGTTTAAAACCCAGTCCATGCAGCTTGGAAAACATGCTGGGCACACATGCATATGTGCTCTAATTCTCAACAGGATGTAGAAACAGAATTGCTATATAACAATACCCCACTGAGGGGTGCTTTCTCCCTCTCCTTGTGGAGAGTGCACACACACGCTGGCAAATTAAAAAGAAAAAGAAAAGCACAGACATGCAATTTCTAGGAGGTAAGACCACTTTCTTGAGACAAACACATACTTCATAATTTAAATTTTGGGTGGCACGAATCAAAACAGTATTTGACTTAGTCACTTAACCATAAGCTGCATTAAGCCCTTTACAGGCTGTTTATCGTGTCTGTATAATTGGCACGAGAGGCCTGATTCATTTCAGAGGTGGCTCTTCTTCAGGCTATACTACTACAAATCCGTGAGCCTCCTCTTCCACAAACAGCACCACCTGAAGGGTTGAAGAGGGCTGGATTCACCCAGACTCCTCTATGCATTCCACTAAGGCCCTTCCCTTGGTGTCTGTCCGTACGTATATCACCTGGGCCTGCATATATATATGTCAGCAACACTAATACAAAGAAACCTACTCTCATGGGAAAGAGATAGGCGCCTCTGTGCAAGGTATCTGCCAAGCACAAGAGTAAAACCATCAAATGACTGGTCTGGCTTTGGCCCACAATCTAAGAGCGGGGGCGGGGGTGACAGCCTATTGCTGTGTACCCCCTAGCACGTAGCAATGGGTTAGCCCAGCATCCCTTCATACATGGTTCACAACTGGACATTTATCATAGTTTACTTATTTATACTTCCTAACAACAGGAAGAACTTCGCTGTATCCTCAACACCCAACGCAATGACAGACATACAAAGAGTGCATAATATTACAGATTTGTTTGTTCCATGTAAGAAACCATTTGCTGTGGAGAGCTGTCTGCAGAAAGCCATAAGCAAATCCACTAAGTATTTCCTAAACCCAGTATCATGATGAACGGTTTAAGAGAAACTCCCATTCCTTAAAACCTCCCTCTTTCATCTCAACGTGAAGAGTAGATGTGGACAAAATGATAGGGTCCTTCCCTGTTCACCTTGCAGAATTTAACCTCCATGGTCTCAGCCTGAGCAGTGAGAAGTCCAGCTAGGTGATGTCCACTCACCTACACTGCCTCGCATTCCTCTTTTCCCAGCCTCCCCCAGACGCTCACTGTCTAAGTGTAAATATGCACTGACAACCTTTTGATTCCTTTAATAAAAGTTGTTTCACGGGCCAGCCTGTGGCATAGCATTCTCCTCTTAGGACTTTGGGCATGCACACACCCGTGAACAGTGTGGTTAAGGTGGCTAGATCC